TTCTTGGAACAATAACATTTTGCGACACCAGGAGTTGATCCCTTCTATCCAGTTTCATTTTAATAACCAGGAAGAGCCTACTGTAGTGCTTCCAGAATTCAGGGTTCATTATATATTCTGAGAGTGCGTTTCTGTAGAGCTGTAAAGGTAGCCATACAGTAGTTACTAAAACAAACCCAATTCCAAAGCATTTCGTATTCCTCAGCAGTAGATTGACACGTGTTTGAATGACAGTAGTAAATTTAAAGAACATATCATTTACAAATACACTCTGGGTGGATTCACTGTACCTACAGTAAACACCAGTGAACCACCTTTATGTCAGTTTGTGAAAACATTGAATCTGGACATATTGTACTGCCATGACATTTCTCCCAAACATTCACGCTGGGCATTGTATTTTTATGACTCATGTATAAACAGCCAGGTCAGCAGCACTTTTGGCATCTATACAATAGAGGGCTTGTTTACAATTCAAGGGGAATAGTTTCAACCATGGAAAATTGTGTAGATTGTGTAGCTCTCTTCATATTCTCCAATTTGCACATTCTGGATGAACTCGACATGAAATTATTTTAAGGTTTTGCTCCCATGATGCACACACAGAAACAGTGTCTCTTCATATTCTCCAATTTGCACATTTAAATTGATGGTTCAGATTTATTTTCCTTCAACAATTTGGTTGAATTTAGAATTTAGAAAAGTACTGATCAATTTTTGTATATGAAACTTTAAAACAAATGCAAATGACTGTGACCAGGGCTGGTTTGTTTCAAATGTGATTGATTGGATACAAAGAGTGAAACTGAGCAGATCAGTGGTGTTGCACTGCTGCTGCCCTGGGCCAGTTAATGTTTGATGGATAAGGGCTAAAAATGCATTTATCTCAAATAAATGAAGTACAAACAAGAGGTTTTATTATGTCAAGCAAGGCGTAGCATGGAAATGATTTTGTAATGTGAACATTCACCAAAGTATTCAAAAAACAATACGGACAAAGCTGAGAACAGCATGTTTCACAACGACTGCCAATTACATGGGAATCCTTTGTGCCAAATAGCATTAAAGTGACTACTAGTAGACTATGTCTTTCAGACCAAAAACATTTTGCGGCCTTGTTGAACACTCATGTTGTCTGGGGGGGAGAAAAGGAGGATGAATAAATTTTATGACTGTCGAGAAATGTGCTGATGGCTTCATGCTGCTCCTCCAGCTCCAGTCTACACTCAGTCAGTAGTGGTCTGGTGGACTTGGGTCGCAGGGTCTGTGACCAGGGATGCATTGACCATGGCACTGTTCCCTCATACTGCTCCCTGGGTTAAACATATTTCAAATTCCGTTGTGTGCTGTGTCACAATGACGATTTCAAATTCCGTTGTGTGCTGTGACCTTCTCTCTGTGTCCATGTGACTTTGGACAATGTACATGTTTTACTGTATTTGATAAGTGATGATTTTGAATACAAATAGAATCTCTGGTTAACTGGATCACATTTTCTGGTTAGATGTCCACAGGTGTTATTAGCCTTCTCAAATTTCTCTTCTTCACTCAATCAAAAGCGTAGCCAGTTTTACCCATCGGCAAGGCGAGAATAGACACACCAAATCCTCTGCCCAAAGCAAAGCTTAAGCTTGAAGAATCTTTTGTAACTGCTGAGCAGCAAAGAAAACTACTGAGATGAAATACAGACATAACATCAAGGGGAAAAACTGTTGAAGACAAGAGGTCAATAATTTGCCCTGTGCACTTGGTGAGAAAATATCCATGTGAGATGAAATTGGGTAAATCCAGATCCCGTGTCATCAGTGCAGGCCCTCTAGAGGTAGACAGTGTAGACGCAGCTATTGTGTTTAGAAAACCACAATATTTTGTGTCATAAAGGGAAATGAGAACAAGCATCGTGTAAATTTATATGATTTGTTTCTATGGCAGATCGTCTTTTGTCAACATACACTGATTCATAAATATTAGCTGTGTAACAAACACATGTTTTTACTGAAGCATCTGTTACAAATATAAACTTGGACTGAATACATTTTGTTTGACATGTGTATCCTCACATATTTTAAAAAAGAAAAACCTGTCGATGTAATCATGGTTATGCAGAGAGGAACAAAATTCCAACTTAACACAACACAATTGTGACAGGACGCACTCCCTGCTGTTAAGAATCATTATTTTGGTAGCAGAGAGTTTACATCAGTTAGTGCAGAAAACCACCGTGATCAATGGAAGAGATCCCTTTTAGTTTACTGCCAGGGTGTCCCTCGAGCGAGGCAGATTTTTTTGTGAGCCATTCACAAAACCTATTGTTTTCTGCTTTAGTGCAAACCAAAGTAAACATGTTTTTTTTCCATATGTTTATCTTCTAATTGAGTTTGAAATTGTGGCCTAGCTTCTTGGATCCATTGCATAGCATTTCTATTTTGCCCACGCTTTTTAAAATCCCAAGATAGATTTGATTGAACAATTAACTTTTGGAATTATCAATGGAAACCAAAAGTCTCCCTCTGCCAACATCTTCTCTATCACCTACAGGTTGAACTGAGGCTGATGGGAATGTAATTTGTGTTGCTGTGATTTGGTGGCAGACCAATTTTGACTTGATGATTGGCTAAATGAAGAGGAGAGGAAAAGCCAGGGGATTAGTGCGTCATTAGGCTATGCTTGATGGGAACCATGAAAGTCTGCACAAATGTCTTGGCAACAGGTCCGAGAAGTGTTGGACCGAGCATCAGACCACCATTGTTAGACCTGTGCTGCAGTGTGGTCATTAATAAACCCAAACGACGATGCCTTTTTTCCTTGGTCCTGTGTTTGAAACAGCTTTTGACTGCTCATTGTCTGAAATCACACATCTGTTGAATAACAAAGGGAGAAACAATACGTTTCACCACATGGTCCGTTTTGTCATGTCGGACCAAACATAATAGAATCTTCATCCAGTTCACTTTATTTCACCCTCACAAGTCATGTGCGTTTGATTGTTGATTGTTCACAGTTGTTCACCCTCACCCTGTGATTCCATGCCATGGCTTTTATATATATATATATATATATATATATATATATATATATTTATTAAAAACACTATTATATTACAGTAAAACATCAGAGCAATACTATGAACTTAGAAGACATAATGTATTTTCTTGACTGGCTGCTTATGATCTAAAAGAAAACAAATAAAAGAGTTTCAGGCTTTTATTTCATTGGTGGCCACAGGTCCTACAACGTTGGTCATTGTCTCAGCTAATTACAACTCCACTTAGAATCTCACTGGCTCTGATGGCTCTGGTAAAGGTCTGGCTTTGATTTTTGTTTCCAAGATTAAAACATCTGTACGTTTTTGTTGGCCTACACAAAGCTGCCTTTCTGTGTTACTGTAGTACAACTTTGTTGAATGGTAGTTTCTTCTTACAGTCTATAATCAGGATGAAAAATATTTTGATGAATATTGTGAATCCAGATGAAATCTGAAAATGATGCAGGGTATTTTGTCTGGACCAAAAAAAAAAAAATTCCATGTGGAGAGCGTTTTCTTTCTTTTTCTTTTTTTTATTTTCAACAGCCATCAGGAATACACCATAAACTGGGGAACGTGGTATCGTTGTACAGAAATATTCCTCTCAAAGGTGTCGAATAACATTTCAAAGTGAGCAATGATGAAGTGGCTGCCAATTGCAGTAAACCCCCTTCTGTTTCTTTTGAAACCTTAAAAAACAAACCTGTGGAGAAACCAGAGGTTGATGTGAGACATAGTAAAGTGAGAGTCAAACTCCACCTGTGGTTACATACTTTAAACTATGTGTGGACCCTTCTTTGGCAGTGCTTGACATTATCCTGGAAACCGTCCAAAGGGAGCAGGGTTGGAGGCTGAAGCTGAGCCAAACAGTGGGATCATAGCGAGGACTTAGAATCATACAAAGAGTTGTGTAACATAATCTTCCTTTTTGCACCCCAATAACACATCTGGAAGGGTATAAATCAGCCACACGCTGCATTAAAGAGATTCTTCTTTTATTTCTCCGTATTAGAGGAAAACAGAGATAGAAAAGTTGAAAATCTGCAGAAACTACAGTAGGAGAGTTAGTAAAAAACATAAAGGGGAGGTTTTTATACAGGTTGAGTACAAGGCAAGGTCAAGGATTTTGAATGGATCATTAATATGTTTTGTACTTGGTGCCTTTCATTTCTGCTGACAAATGCAAACTGTTGCAAATGCATCCCTAAGGGGCACTTTTGACATTCAGGTAATTAATGTTGAGCTTTAGAGTCTATGCATAAAGATTCTATTATCCTATCAGATGATTTACATTCAGACATATGTTCACGTCCACAGAAACTTGTATCAAAGTGATCTACATAATTATTTTTTTTAACATAATTTTGGACTTGGTTAAAAAGGTGTCCTTCCAGACGTTTCCCATTTAACTGGGTGGAGTCTGTATTATAAAAGCGGAACCTTTTACATTTGGCTCATCTAAAAGTCCGAGCCTCTCCCTGTGGATAAATTGTGAATGTGCCTATTTTTGCGAGCAGAGAACAAACAGAATGCCACTGCCTGTAAATGTGTTTCCAGTTGCCAACCTCAGGAAAGGAGTGCATGAGGAGGAGGAGGACATTTTGGAAGCGATGCTCTCATTTCCAGACGGGTGTTTTCCCTAATAACTACCTGTATACAAAAATCCCAGTCAGATTTCTTACATGTACTAAATCCAACAAAGCAAGTCATTACTTTTCTCCTGCAGTTGAGTTTGAGCAAACGGAAGAAAATGGCAGATAGTCAAATATGCATGTTTTTACCTGCATGTATAAATAGAGTCTGTATACTTAATGAACCTTGAAATTGTTAAGTATTTTTTTGCCAAACAAAATATCTGTCTATTGAGTCTTCCCTCATCCTGCAGGAGTTTGGTTTTACTGCGAGACTCCGAAACTCCTAACACGGGAAGGACAATGAAATTATCAACTAAAATGTCATTTGCTCTTCCTTGCAGGACCTCCGGGAAAGCGAGGAAGACGAGGCCGTAACGGAGAACCTGGTATGTGCATTTGTGTCCTGTTTATGTTTGTTTGTCTGTGGGCCCAATGATCACTGCTGTCTTAATCCAGAAACATTTAAGGAATAGTTTAGTAGGACCGATCAGCAAATCACACTGTATTTACAATCACATAAAAAGTACACTGTATATCTTTGGAGCCCAGACAAGGTTATAGATGTGTAATTTGTGGTCCTTACTTGGACTCGTCCAGCTTCAGTTGCATGGAAACACTAAGTTTTTACAGCAAAAGTTTGGGAAAGTACAAGTGATGCCCAAACATGTCGAAGGTGATGAAGCCTGTGTTCAAACCTCGAGACACTCCAAAGTCTTGAGTGTTGATCCCAGACGTGAGGTAGTTTGGTTCGTGTATACAGTATATAAGCTCTTCAAAAACATGTTGTTTTCACCTATTCAGAATCCTCCGTGCTGCTTTCCCTCTCCCCATACACTCTCCTGAGCTGACTCAACAGACTTCACCCAACCCAGGTCTCTGGTGTAACAAGCTGCACAGTGTGCACTATGTGTCACCATAAATTGAATTCACAGTAAACAACATGCACCTACTGTATATCGTGACACTCCCAGCGCTTCACACTACGCTAACCTGATAGTGAACGTTATAATAACCTGTGTAGTGTGATGGCATTCCCACAGCTGAGCTGAGCTTCTTGGGGCAGAAAACACTTTTGGGTTTATGAAAAGAAATGAAACAGACAGGCCACAGCTAGGTGCCTGTTCTGAAGTAAGGCAGAGTAAAAGAGACTAGTTTGGTTTCACAGCTGAAGAAACAAACAGTGTTTTTAACTGAACATTACCACCAGAACCTGCCTCTGTTTTAACTAAAACAAATCTTTTGAGGTCCGTTGTGTTGAGAATCAGCTTATTTCTCATTTCCTTCTATTTGGACTTTGCCAGTTGAATAGAGAAAACCCCATCTAAGGTCATGTTCTGCAGTTTGGGACATGAATCAGTGCAGCTCTCTTTTATATTACAGAATTGACTCAGTGTCTGACTCAAACGCTATGGACTAAGGAAAAAATTAGAAATCAAATGACACAAAGACAACAGTCCAATGTTCTGGTTGGCTGCACATCTGAAATAGGGCCAGGCTTTGTTAATGCTGCACTCCACTCTCCAATAAACATTCACCATGCCAACATATTTCCAATGGCACCGTTATGCTGAGGCGGCTTGTTCACTCTCCGGCCTGCCAAAGGCAAATGTAAAATGTAATGCCTTCCTCTCTACAAATCAAATCAAACAAGCAAACAATCATAGCCATTCACAGAGTCTGGACCGGAGAGGAGCATTGTCAATCAGAGGGAAACAATTGGGTTGCAAATCCTCAGATGATTAGTCTAATTTGTGTCCATTAACCTAATCTGAGCTGAGGTTGAATCAGGCATGTTTCACTCAAGCAGAAAGCTACAACTCTGCAGACATAGGGTGGAGGGAAAAAATCAGTGTGAAACCTAAGATGAAAATAAACACTTACAGTAAGACACACAATACAGTTGGAAATGTTGTCTTTAACATGGACAGGTGTGTTGCATTCTACACCGGTTGAGTTTTCTGCAAATCTAATTTCAGACAAACCTGCCTCAGTGCCTGTAGCTGTTCAATTCACAGGACTGTTTAGAATTTACTGATCTAAAATAAGGCTCTCATTTAGTTTTGGCTGCGAGAAATATGGCTCATTGAAATTTGTATGCATTTAAAGTGAATTGGACAGCATTTTTCAATGTCTAGTGTGTCTGCAAGGGTAACACATGGAAGGGAAAATTGTGGCCTGACAGTTGAGGATGAAAAAAAAGTTATTTTTGCAGTAAAAACAGCCCCAGACTGTTCCAGCAGGTGGTCAAAGTGGGAAAGTGTTTCCTCGCATATTTTCCCTATTTGAAGAAATGCTTCTTGTTACTCGTCTACCTGTGTTTACTGAAGCGGGATGTGATGTCGAAAGAGAGGAAATGGTCAACTTTGCATCAGAGGAATTGCTTTTTTGAGCCCATTTGCAGCTCTGTGACATCTGTGTCCCTGGGATCCAAAGAGCAACTTTGACGATTATGGCAGCGATCACAGACAAAGTGTTGTACAGTACCTGAAGTAGTGAGTCGGCTAACCTTTACACTCGAGGCAGCAGAGTGAAAAACAGAAACTGAAAAGTAGCGTCAGCTGTTTGTTGACATAGTTGCTCTGAAAGTGAATGTTGAACCGTGCTACATACCCTTTAATTATACATTGGTCACACTGAGGAGTAATATTTCTTCTTTCATATTAAAAATGTAGTTACTTTCAGTTGTTGTTTGCCTTGCCTTTTGATGCATGTCAAAAATGCACACGGTGCAACAGGTTTATAAAAAGCTAAGTGGTCCCCTATAGGCCAGAGATCCATAAAACAACACTACAAAAGTGCAGCTCGGTATATGCTTGAAATGCCTGCTTGTGCACCTCAGCTACAGGAGCAATTTACACGTTCACTTGGTTATGAAGAAGAACAGTTCAAGGACAGAGGTCTTGTAAAGAAAGAAAAAAATCCTGGGGGGAAAGCAGCTGGGCGGCTTCTAATAAGAACCAAAAGACCTAAATTATTCGCAGGATTTGGGAAAGCCCTAAAATGCATTGGCACTCGGTCTGTGGAGCTGCAGTAATAAGGAAAAAGACGAGTGTCACCTCACAAAAACTTTAGGGAAATTTTAACAAGCGCACCAAACCCCTTGTAGTAGTGAAATTAGTGCCACTTAAAAATGTTAAATGGAATAGCCAGGCCTGGCAGCCACTGCTGGCCTGGTTACAAAAAAGATAGACATATTTCTGCCTTTTTTCCCCAGGTACAGTATGTGCGACTGAAATACAATGCTTTTCTATTTGGCCTGGTGTAACATGGAAAAGACTTATCTCTGTGAAACCCTACTTTCCAGGGAAAAAGACTCTCCAACACAGCCTGCTTTATTCCAATCTCACTGATTTGAAAATGTGCTTCCACTGGAAAATTGATGATTTTAGTCTGTTTGATGGCTGATTGAAAACACACTAACCATGTTTTCTTTTTCCCTTTGTTATTACAGGACCTCCTGTAAGTAAGCCTGCTTTGCATCTTCCTCAAACATCTCAAGGTAAAAAAAAAAAAACAACAACCCAGCAACAGGATGTGGTACAGGCAACAAGTATCAACACGTATCTAGTTCCAGTCCAGAACCACTTATGTAAGAATTTTTAAAAAATCGTGATTGATCATGATTAATTGAGATAAATAAACTTTTCTTAATGACAAAAATAACATCAGGTAGATGTATGTGACACACTTCTATTCATGACTAATCCAAATGATAGAATAATTAATATGACAGCCAAGAACAATATGCAAGTGTAACGTTTGTTAAATTTATCTTCATAGAGTGGTTGGATTTTAGGCATTACTGTGGATCATGATTGCATCAAGAGTTGCTTTTCAAAACTTTAGTGAAGTTGTTTTCTTCAGCAATATTAATCTTCCCTCCAAACCCATTTGGCAGCGCTTCAGCCTGAGACCTAAGGTTTAAGCCCACAGATTCACATGAAATGAAACTGTTGGATCAGGAGGAAGTCGAAGGGCAGTGGATTAACAGGATAACCTTAAAAGACCTCATAAAACTATAAATTCAGAATGTGGCAGTAATGCAACTGCCTTTTCTCGAAAGAAATAGAAAGGTGGGAAATCTTTTTACCAGGATTAGATTAGCTTGGCTGATCCTTGAAAGAGTTTTTCTCACATGTTACTCCTCACATGCAATTTCAGGATGAATTAGATTAGATTTGGCTGTACCTGCAAAATGGTAAAATAGGTGAATAGTGTGTGAAAATGAATGCACTTAAATTGTACGATTTCTTTCATTCACCAAACAAAATAAAGAGATTATAAGACAAATAGATTCTACCAGCTAATTAGTCCCATATTAAGAATGGTTCCCTCAAGAAAATTAATGTCAAAGACGTCACAATGTGACACTCGTTTGCCACGACACATTTTGTTGCACTCACAGCATTTCTGTATTATTAACACCATCTCTTTATCCCTGCCTTCCATGAAAATGAACCCCTTCCTTTCATCTGGGTTTTAATATCCAAGCTAGCACTCTCAACCCCTGCCAGCTCCTTGAACCCGAACAGATTATCTCACCTCGTTATGCAGCAAGATGATCACAGATTCACTCCCTTCAGACGGTGGGAGTCTTAAAGTTAACGTGAACCTCATTCTGCACATACATCAGCACTGGAAACTGTGTAACCTGGTCAAGTGGCTGGAGTGCGTGTGTGTTCTTTGTTAAGGATATTTATAGCCAAGTGACAAGTGTGATGGAGTAGGTATAAGAGCGTGTGCCGACTAAGCTGTAAAAGTCATACGTTAATCCTCAGACGCTCGCTCCTGGGGTTCTGGGACGTAAGTAAGTGCAGGTGGTCTCATGTCTGAACCGCCCTCTCTGGGTCATACGTCTGACAAATAAAACCATACTATGAGGTGTCTCCAGAGACGGCGGGAGTCCGAAATGTGTTGTTCATACAGTAGGAGAGTCTGGGTTTTTCCAGTTAATGTACAGGGAGCCTGTGTTAAATTACTAGCGACTCCTTGGTTGTAGTGTACCTGAAGTCCGTCTGAACTCAATAAAAAAGTGTCTCAACCAAAACTGGTATGTATGTCACAGACCCAAGTCTGGGTCACTAGGTACAGTTTTTCCTCAAACATTGCAATGACTCTCTCTAATTTCCTTTTTTTTTTTTCAGAGAGACAGTAGTAAGTGATTTTGTGTGTGGGGGGGGTGTTTATTTGGCATTGCCCACCCTAGGGATGGCATGGGACACTATGAGTCGCCATGAATATTCAATAGCCCTGTGGTGTCAACCTCTATAACTCTGAGAACACTGTGTTAATTGTACGTAGCCCTCGGAGCCAAGCAAAACAACCACTGCTGAAGTCATTACAGATCGTGGTGACTTAATGGTTACTTAGCCACTGATGAACAGACAGGGACCTGTGGTTGTGGACGCAGTGAGAGAGTAAGTCTACTCCATCAAAACTCAGTAGGAAAAGATCCTCATTGGTGTTCGGACATGGAAAAGTGATTTACTTTGTTTTGATTCTTTTTTTTCTTTATTTCCTATGCATGAGTTTTTTTTATATAGGTTTCACACCAGATCACTGGGTCAGTTGTCTACAGATTGCCTGGATATCACGCTTGGGTCTGCAGGCAGATAGGAAATTTATTCCGAGCTTATTGTGTTACCTTCCTCCTGCGGCCATATGTATCTTATTATTTTTCAGGAAGATTATTAATGCACATAAGATGATTCATGAAGCAAGAATAATCATACCTTTGCTCCTTGGAATTATCTATTTTTATCATCTCTCTGCTGCTCTCAAGGGGAGGTCCACCCACGAGTCCACCACTGTGCGCACACCATTAAGCATTAATCAAGCAGAAAACACCAACCCAGAGGGTGCACATCAAGCACCCGCCATCACCACATGCTGACTGTGGGCCTTCAGAGAAGTCTGAATGCCAGGCTAAATTAAAATTACACAGACAGGGTTAGAAACTAACATGCTTTGAAATCTGGTCAGGAGGAAGAAGGAAATATTTGAAAGTAAAATAGTGTTGGAACTATCAAACCCACTTCAGCCAAATATGCATGCATTTGCACCACATTGGAGATTCAGGCCAGGTCGGCTTCAGTACAGCACTGACTTTTTCACGAGTTCACTAACATTGCCGATGAACAGATATATGCGTTTGTGTTTGCGAAGTGGCTCTCTCCTCCTTTTCCTCCTGCAACATCTAGGATTTAGGAAACCAGAGTGGAACGGGATCTGTCATGGCACATGAATTATGCAACTGTGGGACAGGGTTTATAAGTGATGAGGGTGTAAAGCAGAGGAGTCCAGATGCCCTCTACCCTTCATCTGCCGTGCTCCACAGTTCAACCCTCGTTAATAAAACATATTTTAACATGAACTTTGCTCCCTCCTGTCCTCAAAGACAGGGGAGCAATGCCATTTTATCTAGAGCAAGAGACGGGTTAGGAGTTGGAGACAAAACCAGCACGTGATGATGTCTGTTGTGTGTTCAAAAGGGAGAAGAAGTGCCATTTACACACAAAAGCTTTGGTGCTGAAGAGGCAGATCTATCTGACATGACAGGGATTATTGGGCTTATAAGGGCAGCAGTGCCTTAGGAGGCCTACTGGCACTGGATGTGACAACATTAAGAGCTTGACCTTCGAGATGTCATTCCTCTGCTCACGCTGTGCCAATCAGTCGTGCTTGTCTGTCAGCAAATAATGAGAGGCAGCTTTCGGGCCAAACGTGAGGTTGAGTCCCAGTGATTCGAGGCGGTCCACAGTGTGCTTTGGTTGGCTGAGCAGGCAGAATGCTCTCAGAGAAAAAGTGACAGTCAGTACCTTAGCATGGTAGAAGAATCAGCAACGCATGAGTGTGATGCTTGCAGTTTAACAGGGAGCTCAACATCGTTTTGAACGAGAGTAGTTTCTGCTGCAGCTCTCAACATCAGAGAGAAAAGTAGAGCAGCCAGTGTATGGTTTTAATTGAATTAAGAACAGAGGGGAAAGAGACGCTTCGTCAACTGGAATGTTGTTTAACATTTTATTGACATTACAAGAAATTCTGTGGCTTAAATAAGTGCTTGGGAATCGTCTACAGAAAAAGTGCCGTGGCATTTCAGGCACCAGTTTGACCTGCTCTGGCTGAAATCTGACATTTACGTTTTGTCACTGTCTTGAGACGTCACACAACGAGAACCAATTACACTATCAGTTTCACTTTCCTCCACTCACACTATCCCACACTCCCGCAAGAACACAAACACGTAACAACAAGCAGACACACACTCACAAACACATACACACACATTAAAGTCATTTTCTGCTGGCTAATTGTGATACACTGTGAATATGGGAACCAGATGCCATTCCCAAGTCAGTTTTCCAATGTGGTTTTCCTATCCCTGCCTAACCTCTCATACAGATTCTCCCAACGAACACCAGCCACTTGTGGTCATCCGCTCCTGCCCATTCTGCTCTGATTACTCACATCCCTGTCCTCCATTAGTTTGCCGCCATAAAAAAAAAATCCCCTGGGGCCCTCAACAATCTTAAGATTAAGGGTAACCATGCTGAACTAAAATGTTGAGGTGTTCATATGGATATTTTTTGTATTCAGTATCTGTTTTACTCTAATCAAATGCAACAGATGCAAGTTTGTCCCATAATGCATTTCAGTAATATAGAATGAAGCTAGCATTACTGCAAATGAGGAAAAAGTGCATTTTCTTCATTTTTTGTGACCATTTGAACCACTTGTTAGGTGGAGTGGGTTTGTTATTAAAGAAATGTTGCAAGAGAATGGGTTTGTTTCCGCAAGAGAGAGAATTCCACTACACTGTAAGAGAAAGGAAGTCCAGAGTTTTTTTGCTTTCTTGCTGAATGTTGGATGAGGAGGTTTATCACTTCATATCGACTTGAAGCTACAGCCAGCAACTGATTAGGTTAACTTAGCATACAGATTGGATAGCAGACAGGAGTTCAGAAGTACTGACCCTGCCTCAGCCCAAAGGTGACAAAACCTGCCCAGCGGCGAAGTAACTTGCATCATAAATCAGAGTGTAAAAATGCCCATTTGTTCTGTTCCAAGGCTTATATTTGGGGCTATTTCAGTTTTTGGTCATTAGCTTTAGTGGTGTTGGCAGTCAGACCTAGTTTCCTTAGGATAGAGCCAAGCTAGTTTTCTCCACCAGCTCTAGCCTTTATGCTAAGTGAGGTGGAGGTAGCCTCACATTCACCATAGATCTGACAGTAATATCAAGGGAAGGGAGTGCAGCTGTGGATTTCCCTAATGCTCTGTTAGGTCAGTGAAGCGAAACATGAATGCTAGGTTTTGAAATGTGTTTATGTTGAGGCATGGCAAGCATGCGCCTTCACTTTACTGTGTAAAGTACTTGAGTCAGGAGTCGGTTCTTTGAAATCCTCCACATAAATCCCACTTTCTCCGTGGGCAGCTTCATGTAGTCTTTTCATGTTGACGGCCGGAGTATCTCTGTACCTAACATCATGTGTACATGCATGTTTGTTGATATTATGAAGCTGTGTGAGAAAACCTCAGCCCGTAAAGATGAGGTAGTAAAAGTGGTAGCTGTTGGCCCGCGCTCCCAGAGATACCAGCGCTGCGGGGTGAGATGATTGGATCCATGTGGTCGGCAGCTCAGTCTGCAGCAGCTACTTACTGCCAGCCCACTTGGGCCTGCGTCTCCAGCCAGAGTTTGAGTTCTTTGGGTAGACAATTGATGGATTGATTTTGTGGGATTCTGACCATTTTTAACAGGTCATTGTGATGAAAACTGTAGCTGAATAGAAAGACGTTCAGTACAAACCCCTCCTTCCTGACTTGTTGGATTCACAAGATCCTACCAGCAGACCACAGCCACAAGAATTATGCTGCTCATGTCAAAAACAGCTCAAGCTCTGGATGGGAGCCAGCCTCTACGTTCTCGCCTGCACTCAGACCAGTGCTGTCGATTTTTCTTTCCTCACGCTTCCAGAAAATTAGAGAAGAACAGGAATGTGATGAATAGTTATTCAATATCTTGACATCTCTGTCAAACAACTTTGAATTAGACTGCAGTGATGTGCCCTTTGGTGTGTATGTAGGCCACATATTTATCAGTAAAAAGTCTAGTGTGTAGTCGTCTTTGGTGAGCTGAAAACAAAGTATTTGTTCTTCAAATCAGTAATTATCTGCACCGAAAGCTCCAGGTTATTATTTTCACAGCAAAGTGGCAAAGAATTTTTTGACCAGGTTGGTCAGTGAATTTGTTTCACCAAAGTTGTCTTGGATCAAGAAATAAAATAAATTTTTTGGTTTAGAATATGATCTTTTTTATCAATAGAATATATAAAGTATGAGCATGTGTCATAAAAACAATTGGATCTGCTTTTTCTTGTCATATTGATTCAAGTCTACAACAATATTAATCTTTAATTGCATTTTTCTCATGCCTGCCAGTGGATTTGGCCAAAGCTTCCTTTTTCTTTTTTTATATTTCTGCATAGATTTTTCTTTATTCCTTTGTTTCTCCATATCTCTATTTCAGAGCGGGCAGGGATTTCCTCCCTCTTTTTTACATCAACAGTTCATCCAGGTCATTACAGAAGATACATTTTCTGATTACTTAGACTGAGACATACATAAGCATAAGCCAAAGGTCATATGAAGTCTTTATATACTTCCTAAGACAGCCCATCATTAGACAAAAAGACAGGAACAGGATCTTTTTATCCAGACGATGAAGGCCATTCTCATTTTAGTTTTCAACTTAGGAATCAATCCTTATTTTAAAATAACACTGACAAGCCGAAGTTTATTTTAGCTCCGACAAGCCACCGTAGTTTGTCCACAGATTTGATGAAATGCTGGGGTAATTAGTAATGAAAAGAGTGTAAACTATCGGAGACAAGAGTAACAAAGAAGACAACAGAAGAGCCATAAATAAGCTGCACAAATAGTATGTTACATTTATGCATTATAACATGTAAAAACAGTTGTTATCCATGCCACACAGGTGAAACATTATTATTATATTACAGTGTCAAATTTAGTTTTTACCTTTCCCTAGACAGACCTGATGTGGAGTAAATAAATGAATTACTTTTATTAAATGCCTACAGTTGTTGCCTAGATGCTGCTGGAAACTTCTGTTAATTACAAACTATTTAATTATTTATTGGGAAAAAACAATTTCTTTAAGTAAATATCAACAAATCTATTTGTTGATACAATCATCTGTTGATTTAGGTGCAAAGTGAATGTATAAATTATGGCTCTCTGTTAGTGTAAATCTATTTTTCTATTCATCTGACTACAAAAGCGTCAGGTATTATAGCAATATTAATGTGTTGATGACGCTTCTCTAACGCATAAACGTCCTGACGCAGTGTGTTTCAGCCTGATCAAACAGAAAGAGGCTGATGATCTGCCGAGCACCTGCTGGAGGGCTGCTTTTGAAATAAAGCCAGTGCAGAAGCAGTAAAACATTTTTTTGAAAACTAATCATACACAGGTGCTGATTAGAAAACTTCCTTGGGGCAGAGCGAGGCTACAAAACGGCGCAGACCCCTTAACAAATAGACACCGAGGGCAGCTCTACTGTAGTACAGTACGTGCCTTTGAAACGGTCTTTGCAGGGGGGTATTTTAATAGTCTTCATAAAAGGTACGCGCTGTACTCGCCTAAACTGGTTTGGAAGAGCTCCTGCAGATGCTGTGTGCCCTACGTGATGTGCAAATGATTGGCAGTTTAATGAGCAGGTGCAGTCTGTGCAAAGAAATCATTTCCACATGCTTTATGAGTAGCTGAGAGTGTGAGATGCATAAGACTGTAGGGGTGATGAGCTGTTTCATGTTCATGTTTACATGTAACCATGTCTGACATGGCCAATCTGAATCATCTGCAGTGTTTAACTGAAGTCTTGTTAACTTCAGAGTGACAAAACTACAACTAAAGGCTACCCAAAAAAATATTTTAAACGATAAATCACTAAATGTTAAAACTAGACTTGTAAAGCAAGTGTGCAGACATGAAATTTCCTGGAAACACACACACATTTCCTTTTCTACATGAGTCGTTCTTTCCGTAGCAGGGAGATAAAATTATGATTTCTTCACGAGCAAACTGATTTTCCTCTTTTGATGAAAGTTCCAATCAAATTCTCCTCAGCTGCTGCGTCTCTTTGAAACAGTGACAATGAATTCCATCCGTTGCAAACGCCCTGTTCTTTACTAATGAACGATGCCCCTTTGTTCAGTCATGCTGTTCTCCCCCTGTAAGCTAAAACTGTCTGGTGCCTCATGCTAAAATCTGCAGCAGGTGTGTTTATGCAAACCTTTGTTCCAGCATTCACACAGCGCAATTATACCTTGTCATTAAGCACCCATTGTCGAAAAGATAATTTTCCAACCGAACACAAGTCTGCACTGATTTCCTTTACCTGCCACCTCTTCTCAGAAACACACTGGAAACATATTTAGCCACAGTGGAATGCTTCTGCGTCATTGCAGAAGTAAAAGTCACATTTGATTCCAAAAGGCTGCCCCCGTTATTACCCCCCAGGGCACTGCAATTGGAAACATCACTTTTATAATAGCCCATTTTCTTGTGTTTACAAGTGTGTTTTGACTCTTTTTATGGCCAGTCAGGTGAGAAGTGGGACCACCTTCTTAGCCGTGTCAAAGTAACATTTCCTATTATTACTTTTGCTCCATTCAGGCCTGTGGAGGATGTAATACGTGTCTCTTATTTAAATAAATGCTACTAAATGTGCTTGTTCTGCAGGTTACAGTGACATGAACAAGGAAAAGTGGGCCTAAAAGATCCAGTTGGGAACACATGTGCTAGCCTACATAAACAACCAGCTACGGATAGTTAACGGTGCATCAAAAATGATGTCCAAAGGCATTGAGCAGGCAGAAACCTGGCTGCAGCCCTCTTCCCCCAGAGCATTGTGGTAGATATTGGCTGTAGAAACTTGCTGAACTACCTCCGAAACATTTCACTTCTAGACGATATTCTAATTCTCTGCCAATGTAGTGGGAGCCTGACAGTGTCTGCAGCGTCTGCTGCTCTGGGTCACTGGTCCACAGACTTTCAGGAACGGGGGTCTTATCCTAATACCATCAATCTGTGGATTAGTGTCAAACTTTTATTCCAAGTGTCTGACATTTTTGGACTCAGACCAGCATAATTCTGGAAAAGCAGCGACGTTATGCTATTTATGTAGGTGACAGCTGAACAACATGTTTGAAAATTGGCAACTGTGTGATGGAGATAAGATCCGACACAAATCTGGTCTTGAAAACAAGACCTGTTTTGTCTCTAATACAAAAAAAGAAACAAGATTGTTTTGTCTAATATATGCAGTGTATGTGACAGGTTGACTATAATACTGCCAAAACAATCCTCCGTTTCCCAAGAGTCCTATTAAAATGAACGCTAAGTTGATGGTCAGTGTGTTTCCTAGCTAAAACTGCACTTGCGTGGAACTTTCTGTTAATACAATTTTTCCAAAAAGCTAAGCCTCAGGGGACAAAAGAAACCCCAGCAAACTGGAGTACAGTGGTATTAAATGTTCTATATTTGAACACAAGCTCATTAGGCTGCAGGGTCCGCTGTGGATGCACAGCTCATCATCCAGACCTCCGCCTCACTCTATGATGAACTTTTCTCAGGGGGCCCACCCAGAAGCCCCTGCCTGTGGATTGACAGGCCCTGAATGCAAAGCTGCCTGGTTCCTCCTTGTTTGGGACACATTTTTACATTGTGCTTGCCAAAAACTTGGTTGGAGATTACTGGAAGTGATCCTCTCTGTAAACATGGACTTGATTTGGCCTCCATTTAAATTGTGTGTTTGTATAAGCCGAGCTGTCTACAATGTCTAACACACCAGTTCCCATTCTGCGTCGGCAAATTTTAATCTGTAACGGTAAACGGCAAAAGGGTCTTTAAAAAAAACACACAATGTTAGTTTCCATCGAAGCCTGATTTGTTAATCTGATTTTGGCGCCTTCCTGAAAAAAATCTCATTTGTTTAGCTTTGTTTTCTGGTTACATGACTCTTTTTTTTTTTTACTCTGGTCGTTCACAATTATCCTTTTAGCATTATGTCTGACCAAATGGAATTAAAGCACCAGAAATATTGGAAGCCACTGATGTGATCTGTCATTTGTTTGGTGAATTAATTTTGAATCATTCTTTTACCCTCTTTCCAGGGCCCTCCAGGTCCACAAGGTGAAAAGGTGAGTGAATAAATGACGTCATTAATTGTCTTGTGATTCATTTATCAATGTTATAGTTAAGAAGTCCTTAATTTGTCCCACAGAATTACAATGTTGCTGTAGCGATTATTGAAAAATTAAAACTCTCAGTTACACAGTGACAAGAGACACAGTGTCTTTACTGGAGACACCAGTAGAGACGTTATTAGTCACGTTTTTATTTTTTCTGTCTTTTCAGAGCAGAACGACAGTGTGTTTTGGCCAGAGTTCAAGTTTAGGACACTGTGTTTCACTCTGAGCATTCCCCTATAAAACAACAGCAGAGCATGCAGTTCAACCACAACATCTCTTTACAGGACTGCAGGACAAATATCTGTGTAGTATAATATACTCCATACTTTTTACATGCTACTTGAAAGCTGAAAGAATCCTTTTACACAATTATTTTGCAAAAACCTAAACCAAAATCAAGTGTTTTTATTCAACAGATTATTCTGTTATTTGAAAACAAAGATATGCAGTGATGTAAGCCTGTTTACTGGACCGCATTAAGCCCTCTGTCATCTGTGTTGTGTTACATGACCGATGAGTTCTCCTTCATGTAATGTGTGGTGTGGACTGACGTTGCCCACAGACGTCATGCGTGTTATTGTGGCGTTTTACAACGGTGGACAAAAGTGACTTCAAAACCCATGTTAAAAGGGTTGTTGACCATCTATTAGGATAATTGTGGAGAACGTCCTGATGAGATGCGTGTTCATGCCTCCCATGTACACCACTTAATATGCAGTTAAACCAAATGTAAAACAACTGTGTTCTTCTTCAGTCCAGAAGACCAGATAAAGTCGACTAAAAACAAGAAATTGTCATTGAATTCACACAAGAACTATCCTACAGTTTGCTTGTTAAAAAATAGACTCCAGTCTGATGAGGCAACAGTCCTCAACCTGCAGGTTGGTTTCACACCCAGTGCTATCTGCCACAGGAGTAGGCTGCTTTCACAGAGACTTACCCCCCAAATGGCTGAAAGCCAAGCATCTCTGGGTCATTAAATCTGGCCTGGCAGAGCAGTTGGTCCAACACGCAGCCCCCAGCAAACCCACCAAACCTCACACTGCTGCTCTCTCTTCCTCTCTTTCATACCCAATCCATGTCAATCCCTGTTATCGTAAGTGATTCTGCTCACAACCACAACGAATTGCTGAGGGTTCCTGTATTATTGGCCTTTATTAATGTGTTCTGACTTATGTCTCAGTGATTTTACCCTCCTTATGGCACCGTCATCTGTACGTGTGTCTGTGTCCATCTGTATGTGTGCGTCTGTGTTGAACCGCTGTGTTTTAAGACAAACTCTTTTTCTTTCCTTCCGCAGGGGGATCAAGGCGACCAGGGACCACGGGTATGTGGTTTACTCCCACCTTCTTCTGATTAACTGACAAATGTGACTGTGTGTGTGTGTCTGTCTTCCCCAGCAGAATTGTGGGCAAAAGTTTTGAGATGCATGAAATTCCGCGGATAGTGTTCCTCCCATCTGGCCAAATACAATAAGCATTTCTACACCGCTTATTTCTGCAACAAGAATCGGCTGGAAAATACCCAATATACCTTGGGAGTCTGGGGCGGGGGGTGTATTTTTTAGTCTGCAAAGACTTTTTTTTCTTCTTCATGGAGTCCTAAACTGAACATTAACGCCAGATTAGCAAACCATTAAAAGCAATCTGCTCAGTCAGAGTTATAATTGGAAGCCAACTAGGTCGGCATATATAATTACCAGTGATTCACTTCACTCGTCAGTGTGACATGTCATATTCAGAGCTTTTAATCATTTCCAGCTCTGTAGTTTGACATTTCTATCAAAGAGTAGCTTTTAAATGGCGATTTCGGGAGTGCTTTTTCGTGCTTGTCAAACTCTGAAATGAATTACTTTATCTCCAGCCGAAAACAAGGGTTGCCCTTGTGTTTCTCAAATAATGTTTGAAAAGAAGTTTCTTTGAAAGACAGACTTTGTTTACAGGTTTGTTTAAACTATATCACATTAACCTGGGTCATCTGTTAGCCTGCCGTCATCACCGGGTGCATATTGTTGGGATTCTAAGTCATCTTGAAAGACCTCTAATTGATTTCCAGAAGTGCAGACATCAAGTAAAGGTTAGAGCACACGGATAAGAAGGCACAAGAACACAGGGCCTGTCTGCTCAAATGAACGCCAGCTACAGTATCTCTCCTGGATCTGATTCCAGTTCAGTGCTGGCGCCTGTCCAGATGTTTGCCAATTGCCTTTGTCAGCTATCTTCTAGGCCAGTTATGACCATCAAAGCACATTTTATGATTTCAGTCAGTCAGTACGGGTGACCTTTCGTCTCCAATCTGATTTGTGCCCTCTTCTTAATAAACCTAATGTTTCAAAAAGGTTTACCAGTGATAACAAAACCCTGAGTAGTTCCACAATTTATCAAGATCTGCAAATGCATTTCCAGCTTGCTTATATACTGAGTAAATATTTGATGATTTGAAAAGTTTTGGATTTTGGCTGTAGTTAGGAAATGAAATACTTCTGGTCCTTGGATGAACTAAATAGACTTAACCTTCCCCCTTTTGGATAGAATTTCTCGGGTTTTTTTGCCCACAATTTGTACCCTTTTAACCCAGGAAATGGAGTCATCAGTCTCTATCAGCTAAATGATTTATATTTTGGGAACAGCCATGTGGCTGACAGAGTTGTAACAGAGACCTAACCAGGTCCTATTTGTCTTACAATGTAAATAAATGGACTGTCCTTTTTAAGGTAGCATTTCATTAATTTCCAGTTACTGCTAAAGTGTGCCTTAAAAGGAGAGCATTTATGTGAAGTCACGGTCACATATGAGGAAATGCAGAGGCATGAAAAGATCTGGGGTCTCACCACTGAATCACATTACCGCTGCAGAACGGAAAATTGACTTTGCACATTAAATGAGTAGGTCAATGCAGTGGGACACTCTTAAAGGATTTTCCTAATAAATTAAGGCATGGAGAACAAGTGCTGCCTGACCTTGGATTTAGCTATTAGGCCAGGACTGAAGCCCTTCCTGCCCACTGCTGCCTACATGCAGACAGCCAGTTAAACCCATATGTAAACAACCATGCATGTAAAACAAAAAAAACATCTGCTATGCAACAACATCTGCCAAAACCTTTCAATTAAGGGCAGATTTAAATATAGAATAATTTAAATAGCCCACAGACTACATTTGCATGTTTACTCATGCATGTATTTCGTTAAAATAGTGGAACATGCATTTTCCCATGGTGGGCAGGATTTCCTTCCAGACCCTCAACTCTTTGGGGTCAATCGTTTATCAACCTTTAGCATCAATGGTGGTATCCAAGGGTCAAAGGTTATACAAGCAACAAATGATTAAATGGCCAAACTCGAAGAACAAACCTTAGACCACCTTTCGAGTCACATTGATGGGATGTAATGCACGGCAGTTGGTGACCATGTGCTTCATCACTGAGAAAGGTGTGTGGTCTGTTTGAGGAATGGTAGGAGCCAGAGTTGTCAAGCCAAAGGTTGGTGAATCCTTGGGTCATTTCAAAATTCCTGACATTTCTTCAAAATTCGCTCCTGTTTGTCCCGTGCATTTTCTCACATCTTGGGATTTCCACCAATTTACCAATGCTCTTCAAAATAACGGCTGTGGTTATGTAATTTCCAGCATTTGAATCTTTAGACATGAACAAGGGAGGGTTTCAGCTTGTAGTCATGAGATGAGAGGCTCACAATGAATTTCATTTGACATTCATTTGAAGTATCACACCAGTGCCAAACTTGAGGCTTCAAGTGGATGTTCTAGTCCACTTTTAAAAGTATTAAAGCCATCTGTAAACAGCATTGGTAATCCACACCACGTATCTAAGCCACATCCTGTCGTTCCTCTAGATGTTAATGTGTGCTTGGTGTGGTCAGAGAGATACTGTTTTTGGCCGGTGGGCTATAGCGGATGTTACTGATTGTCCTCATATCTGGCAGTTTGCAGCAGTTGCAGTCATCCTGCTGCCGGCAAATGCATTGCAATAAGACCCTCAACCAAACAACCTAAATCTGTTATGGAGGAAAAATGCAAAACAAAGCAAAGTGTCAGCCACCATGTCATTATCATTCTCCCACATGAACAAGTACAAAAGCACTGTAGTGTGAGCGCTATCAAAAACAAACTTAAGCTTTTTATCTTCTGTTCGTCTCCTGTTTAGCCAAGACCCAACAATAGCAGATGTAAAGCAATTCACAAAAATTGATGCCTCGAAAATCTTACACCCTTCAGGGTAGCATACCCTGACTGAACTGCAGAAGGCGATACATAGATTAATATATATTTATTTTTCAGTTTTGATCTTTATAATCCGGCATTTAAATAAAACAATTCAATTATTAATTATTTGAGATAGAAAATGGGGAATTTCTATAGACATGAGGAAGTTATTAAGATATGGATTTGTTTAAGCAGGATGCCACTGAAGGCCTAGGTGCCAAATACACGGCACACCAAGAGGTGAAGAGGCGTCAGTACTGGTACTTGGTTTGGCGAGTACACAGTAATTATGCTTTAGTTCACATCGCCCCCACCCTCACGGACCATATTCAAGACTGTATTTCAGGATGTTTGAAGTCGTCAATAGCTTGTGTTTGCACTTCAGTCCCACTTACACACAGCACATCCATTGTCTGCAGTGAACAGTATCACTTTCTCTTTTCCACAGCAGAGATAATCAAATTAGCATGTGGTTTTAATGAACCATGCTTTTTGAATTATAGTTGAAAAAACATAAGGATGTGAGCAAACCCGTGTTTGGATAGGGCACATCAGATCCTGTAAGACTTCTAATCAATTTATATGTTTGTTTATAATTTATACAACTTTTTAGTCTGTTTCATGTGTTATATGGTAAACCATGGTAAACCATTTTGAAACAGTAAAATGAACATCTCTCTTTGTATCTTTGTAACACTTTTTCTTTTTTTTTTAATTTAAATTATATGTATTTGGAAACCAAATGTTTAAATTTCATATAGCCAAAGCAAATATGTTGCCATTGTTTCCCTCCATCCTGATTTCATCACCCTTTAATAAAAGCGGTTGCTGCTCGTGGATTTAGTTTCCAGAGGAAAGAAGAATAACCGTAGGCCGGATAAATCCACACAACTTGATGTTTACATGATTTATAAGGTGAAAGCTGCATGTTGCTTTGAAGGAACATTTTATTGTCGCCGTCTGACTACACTATATGTCAGAGAAGTTTAATAACCTCTGCTATTGAAATGCCGTGAGGAGGTGGATCTTCCAACTGTCTGTATGATAAAGAAAACTATTTGCTTCTGTCTAGCATATGTTTGTCATTGGGGCATCGCAGGGAAGAGGCTTTTAGGATGAGGATGTGTTTGGCAAGAATAATCAAATCTTAAAACAGTTGGCAGAGGAATGTGGAGTGTAGATTTTATAAAATCAAATACAGAGTGGAACAGAGATACGATGATCCTGCTAGCATCCGCGACCACCTTTTACACATTAGTGGAACGCTGCACGGTGGATGCTGTCTTTGTTTGTGTCTAATGGAGTTGAATGAAAATGATTTAAAAATCCCAGATTTCCAGTCAGTTAATTTTGTGCTTTCTGACTTTGGAAGTAGTGTGGCTTCTTCCATTTAACTGGGCAGTGCTCTCACTGACATTGGTAACAGACAAACACACTAACATCTGCCCTTTTAGCTTCTGCAACAGAGGATATACGTATAAACTATAGTATAAACTTTTGCTCTGAAATATTTTGTACCTTAAATTTGAATGTTATGCTGAGACCGATACTCTCTTTAGCTGTATAGCTATAAATGTTAATGAAAACTATCTTTACTTGACAGACATTTAACAACAATTGACTGTATTAAGGTGGATGTCTATTGTATGGATTACTTTGAGCTCCACCCAACTCAGAATAATCCATACAATAAGTACTAAAGTACTTAAGAGAAGTACTAAAGAGTCTTCATGAAGCTACATTTAGGTCATAATAAAATGTTTCTACATCAAACCTTTATAAACCCTTTATATTTGATGTTGGTTTGTGCTCATTGACCGACAAATATATCGATATATGTACTGTTTTACACAGCTCACGTGTATATTTACTTGTTGTTCTTCTTCCTCCTCCTCCATCCGTTTTTGTTTATCAGTGTTTGAATGTCATGCGTGTGTTCTGCCACGTTCTGCTGTGTGTCCATTTAGGGATTGCCTGGTCTCCCTACACTGGCTGCTTTGCACAGCAATCAGATCCTGACTATGAAGGTTTGTTGGTGGTGGTGCATCCTCGCTGCTCAGTCTGACCCCTGTGCTCTGCTGCACACACTGAGAGTGATTGAATCACTACTGCCTGTCCTTTTTTTTCTCCGCACATGAGACACAAAGAGAGAAAAAAGAGAGGGGGCGTCTAATTTATCAAAACCAGTCGATCCTTATCCGTTTCCACACTGTTGTTACCAAGGTTTATACTCAAAATGTTTCTGTTCCATGCAACATGCCAAGCCGCTCATTGAAAGCAAAGGTGGCCTTTTATAGCCCAGTAATATGTTGCGGACTGGAACAACAATAGGCAGCCTGAATCCAAGACAAGGTCTGGCTTTTCTCTGCTGATGCTCAGATGAATGGAAGGAACTCCAGCAGGAAAAAGTCTACACTGACCTGAAATGGCAAATATTTTTATAAAAGTCATTCCCATGGTTCACCACAAATCCTTCAATCCACCAATTTGGCTCTCAGCATTGTTTCACTGAAGGATGAAGCCACTTAATACCAATGGACACTAGCACAATAAAGCACACATTGAAAGACATAGGGTTTGTAATCAAGTTGACATGAAAAGGTCTGACCCGACTGGTGCCAGTGTGTGCAGCTCCTGGGGTCTGATTCAGCAGCAGGCACAGAGAAGACGGTGACGGTGCTTTCACAGAGGAGGAGATATTCCCAGTTTTCCATGGACTGTTTGTCCTAACACCCCCGGTAATTACAGTCTCTGGCTGCACAAACTAAGCCCAGATTTCCGAAGAAAACCACCTCAGTGCAGGAAAAGTGTGGATCTCTCCCCTCGTGTGTGAAGGCACTAAAACACGATTAGTGAACAGAAGTCTGTCTAACCAAATCTGTCTCTTTTTGCATTTGCCTTCCTTCTCCTTCTCCTTCTGGAATTCATCCTCCTTCAACCTTCTCTCAACTCTGACCTACGACCTTTTGACCTCACACACCTGCTCAGATGGTCTTCCCTAAGATCAATCATGGCTTTCTTTCCGCTGACCAGCAGCTCATTAAGCGCCGGCTCATTAAGGTAGTGGCTGTGTCTTTACTTGTCTCCCTGTCAACTGTCCAGAGTCTTACTGTGTCGTTTCCTTCTGCCCTATCCCAGTAGACTTTTAATACTTCTGACACTCAAAAATAATAAAATGTCTCTTAGGAATTTCAGGTTTTATTTATAAACTGAAAATGAAATACATTCCTGGCTCAACTTAAAGCCTTTCTTTACAAGTTTGAATAGTTTTATAGGGATTCTAATAATCCTGTATAATAATTGTCCACAGATTTTTGGCATATTTTCCATTTATCATTAAAATTCTCCATTGACAAATGTTCACAAAGATTCATGTAGCATGTATTGGAAAGAATGGACATTACAGCTGTATATCATACAAATTACAGCTGCTTTTATTATTGTTCATTAACCGTAACTGGGCAGCTCCAACATGCAACATTACTTCATGCTGTGAATGGAGACAGCCCTTCACTCCACTCTAGATCACTTCCCTACCCTCGTCTTCATCGCCCTGTTTGTGGATCTCATTTTAGGGGCTCCAACAGTATATCGTGAAATGTTGTTAGAGTTTGTTGTTTTGTCTCGCAGGGAGATCAAGGACAGGCGGGACCACCTGGGCCTCCAGGTCCACCGGGTCCCCCGGGGCCAAGAGGACCTCCTGGGGACACTGGCAAAGATGGGCCTAGAGGTGTGCCTGGTTTACCAGTGAGTATTGAACTTACAGTAAAATTTTGAACAGTAAAATGATATATTAGGATTTTATTTTGATAATAATAATAATGACAAATTATTGATATGAAATAACAAAACATTCTCAGCAATGGCTTAATATAAGGAGCATCCACCAAGGGGCTAATTCTTTAAAAATCATGCACCTAAGATCCAGAAGCAGAAAAACTGCTGAATGTGCATGACCTTTTGGCCCTTTGTTCGTGCTTTGTAAAAAAAAAAAAAAAAAAAAGCCATGTTTCCATGACTGACAGCCCTATGTTGGAAGCTAAATAAATCTGCTTTAGCAAAGAGTCCTTTAAGACAGTTGTATTGTATTTAGCAAGCTTTACATACAGCCCATAAAATTAGGTTTGTCAGAGAAAACACTTAAGGTCTTTCTTTTTCTTGATAAGATTTGAGTACGTCACAATATTAGATTTTCTCATGTTGTTAATGCATTGTTTTGAAAGCTTACTAACTTTACTGTTAGTAGGTTTTCTAGAAGAGGATCAGAATATTATCTCTATTTTATGTAAGTACATATTTTTCGGGATAAAACAAATGGAATGTGTTTAGCATACATATTCATTTGTGTCAGGGCCAGAAGGGTTCATCCCCAAGAAAAAACACTTAGAATGAGCAGTTGACGTGCTTTAGTGCAGTTCATTTGCCTAATGTTTTTACATCAGGGGATGCGACACTGTATGGCATTTATGTTCACTCGATAGGTTTCCATTAGACTTAATATTTTCCATGTCTGACTCTGTCAGTGGCTGTGTGATCATTTATGTGAACCCTGCCTGTGAGTGAAAGGAGGAAGAGAAAGAGCCTGTCAATTATGTTCATTATATTCATTTATGTCCATAAAAGCCCTTCCAAGGTCTCCAGCTGATCTTTATTGACTTGGCTGAGCTCACAGTGGGGGTGCAAAAATATTAAGCCTTGTTTGGCCGATGCTTTCTAAGCTTTTATGAATATTGTTTTTAGCGCTTCCAAATGCAGTTGCCGTTTATCCAAAGAATTAAAACTTCTGTTGCTGCGGTGGATAATTTCTGCTGCTGTAAATCCCTTTAGAAGCAGGGTGGGAAAGTTTGTCCTGGTTGTGTCACAAAGGGCCAATGGAGGAATACTGTTCAAGTGCTGACTTTGGCATGGTCATTTGGACATGACATACATCTCATTTCTGCCGGGGGACCTGGGCGGACATCCAAGAGCCAGGCTTGAAGCAAAGACCAGAACAGGGCTGTGGAACAAAGGCAGTAAAAAATCACAGGTGGTGCTTCATGATAAATGAGTGTTGTATGAGCAAAATGATAAGCACTGGTTCTCAGCATGGCCGTTGTTACATACCTGGTATGATAGGACTGCATTCAACGTGGTTTGCTGCTGGTAATTGAAATTTTTTAGTTTAGATTTTTATCATAAATGTCCTAAACACGTCAAAAAGTCGAGTATTAAGTGTCTGCTTTCCATTTTCCACAGGGTGATCCAGGGCAGCCTGGTGAAACAGGACTTATGGTAAGCACTAATGTTTTTTTTAAAGTTTGTGTTTCTGTAATATTTAGCACACCTGGGGTTTTACTTTTTTAATGGACTGTTTAAAAATATAGAACATATATAACCATTTTGAGCTTTGGAAAATAGTGGTTAAAACTGTATGTGCATTTGGATTTCTGCTGAATTTGATCAAGTTCATAAAGAACTCTTTCTTTTTAATAAAGGCCGTTTTAGTCTATGCTGATGATCCATTTAGGTACTTTGAATGTGTAGTAGTTCAGAAAGGACAGCAACTCAAAGCTGGCTAAGTCTGTCTGTCTATTCCTCCATAAGAACTTGATGAATGACATCACTTGAAGACTTCATTGGGATCATGGATTAATAATGGTACAGATAATGGCTAAAACAAGTAGCCTCGGATGCTGACAGATATTTCAAAAAGTGTAATATTTATGAGATATTCATAAAATGGTTTATGATACTTAGATGAATATTAATGACACTTTTTATGATGTACTGCGCAAAAACGTATGTTTTTCTGATGCTGCGGCGACGAGCTGTTCCAGTTAGCAGCAACTGGATACTGCTTGTGGTGTTCAGCAAATAAAGCATTTGATTAAAGTTTCCTCATAAAAAGTACACTAACGAGTCCCGCCAAAATCGGGGAAAAGCAACGACGGAAAAGGAATCCGGCGGGAAAGGTTGCTTAAGTCTGATTTCATATGTAATAGGAAGAGTAAGTGAATCTGACAGAGGAGGTCTTATCACACACTTTCATGTCTAATTTTGTCTTGGACATTTTTCCCAGTATGGAAAATGTTGGTGGATAGGAAGGAATTTGTAAAGAGAAAAAAGGTTGAAGAGGCTCAAAGTACTAAAAAGAAACATGACCCAGAGAGTTAGAGTTACTAATCAGTCAGATCACATGTATGAATCTCTATAAAAATGTTTTTGTTGCTGAGGTTTTTCTTTTAATGGGCTTCACAGTTAGATATTGTTTCTTTTAGTGCAGTGTTAAAGGATAGTTAAGTATTGGTCTTTCAACTAAATCATAACTCAGTTGAAGAAATAGTTTCCATTTTAGTTTTGGTTGATGAAATTAAAAAAAAATGTTGACAAAGACTCATGGTAGTATGAAAGTAATGTGAGGTTTTGTGGCATTAGAGTTCATGGGTCACATGGGTTATTTTAATAATAATAATAATTTTAAAAATGTTCTTATTAGCAAAACCTAACATTTAATAAAATATATGAAATATTATAGTTATGTCAAGAATTACTGATAATAATTAAGGTTTAAGTATTGAATTTTTTTTAGGATGTATATGAAATGTTCTAACCATTAGTTTAATGCATTTAACTAATGTTATTCTCATATTCTCATTTCTAAATCACCCTTCCGTATCTCCGTCCTCGACTACACTCAGTAAAGATGTGTAAAATGAACTTGTTTTTCTGAGGTTTAAAAATGGTTTTACAGCCAAAGCTATTCGAAAAGAAACGTCACATTATGATAATGGAGCGAGAGAGAATGGAGCAACACCACTCACTCAACACCACACCCTTGATTTGGCATTTGAAAATCTTTGTGAATTACATGTGCATAGACTGATAGACTCCACTTTCTGCAGCAGGCTAAAAGGACTAATATTCAATGTGTCCAACAGGCATGAGGTCTGGATTGGGAGTTTGAAGTCGCTCCCTAAACCCACTTTGTCTTTTGTAGTGCTGAATGGTCGAGCGTCCACTTGACAGAGCTCCGTGGTTGTTTTTTTTTTTTTTTTGGTGTAGATGCTATTGTTAAAGAGGCGAAAGTAGATTCCAGAGTTTTCCAGCAGCCTTCCAGGACATATGGTGCTGGTTAGATGGATTAAGCTCTTGTGGAGAAACACGGAGGAGGGGGAGCAAGGGAAAGGAGAAGGAGAGTTTTTCAGGATTGAACTCGGCATCATCAGGACGGTT